GGATGCTGCTTGGTAAATCACATAAATGTTCCCCGGTGAGGAAATCGTGAAAGATTTTGTTTTGTAACCTTACAGCAGGTTTGATTATACTTCAATTACATGTGTTGGTGTGAGTCTTACTGCAGCTGAAACCAGTTTAATAATTCAATATTTGTCATTTCCAAGTACTTCAGCGAGTGCCGGATATTACGTTTCGACTAACATGTTAAACATCATACATGCAGAACAAAACCACCGCCAACAATATTAGTAACAGGAAGTGTCAATGAATGTCCAGGGATGAAGATCGTGAGTCTGACACAGGTCACATGACTTCTATGAGCCTGCCTGTGTTAATTTATTCATTTAAAGTGGATTCATTATCATTTCATGTTCAGCTACTGAAACCACTGACCTGTGACCACTCCATGGCCGCCCACTGGGGGCAGGCGAAGGTGTTGCAGATCTGTCGGGCGACAGGTCGCGGGGAGTGCGTGCACTTCCACTCATCCACCTGGGAGAACTGCCCGTGGGCGTCCTCCTCCACACACAGCACACTGCGATCCTGCCAGCCCCCATTTTCACCACAGGACACTGAGCACTGGGTCCAGGGGCCCTGCTCCCAGCTGTGCACACACAGAAGAGGCTAAATGAGTTTTATGTACACAGATACTGAGTAAGGTGGAGGTGAGGAGGGGGCAGAACCTTCCTGCATAGAAAGAAACACCTGGAAGTGTGGAGGACGTGATTCGGCAGCGAGGTCAGCAGCACCTGTGACAGGCAGCGCACGGAGGTTATTACAGTGCTTTAAAATCACTCGACTTCAAACCAGAGAACAAAAACTCTCATATTTTTAGATCCTCTCCTTCCCCTGTCCTCGCTGCTTTCATGTCTGATCGAAAGGTCACCTTATTTCATAAAAGCTGTGAGAATGATCTTAATAAGTAATGATGTAATAACATTTATGCACCAACGTGGAACACGTCTGAATCCCGTTCCTTTCCCCTGGAAGCCTCGTGTGGATCAGTGCAGGCCCAGATCCGACACATCCAGGTGGGAACACGAGGGTGGGGGGAGACAGAGAGGCAGGAACGTGTCGCCTGAAATACGAAGCAACTCTGACACTTTTCCACAGCTAATGTCGATTCCACTTTACACTTATGTAAGCTATAGATTCAGCACTCAGTGAGTACAAGCACCCCGTTACACTCTGTCACACAGAAAGGAGGTCAGGGACATTAACGAGGCCATTTCAGAACAATTAAGACTGCAGGACTCCGTCTCATTATGTTGTAATTAGATAAGTGCGGTGATTAACAGTCTGTCTCATTGCAAGTGGTGCATCAGCCTCGATAGACTGCAATCAATGCGCGTTCCACATCCGACGGCTTTTAGAGCTGGAAGCATCACTGCACTGCATAACTGTCTTTGTCTTTCTCCAGCTCCTTTTTCAAACCAGGCTGTCTGCAGCCACGCTCATTATGCAACCCTGCTGACAATGACAACGATGTCTAATGCAGTCCAACAAAATGCTGGAGATTCGCACACTGCACAGAGTTCAAAGGTAGGTCAAAGGTTAGAGTGGCTGATGGGTGCACACAGTTCAGGACTGGAGGTTTATATCTGCTGCACGGTGTATACGTCAGTGGGAAACTGAGGCTACACTCATAGAGATGCTTTCATCTACAGTGCACAAAGTTTGCAGCTTTAAGTGTGTGCTTCTGGAAAATACACACATTTTAAATGAAGCTCTTCAGAATATCTACATTTATAAAAGGTGAAGGTGAAGCTAACAGACAGCTAGCAGAAGCCACAAAGAGGCCACGCCCCTAATAATTAGGGGTGCAACGATGCACAAAATTCATGGTTCGAGATAGGAAAAATGTTCATGGCTTTTTAATTTGTCATTTATTAAGATTATAAATATATATTTGAACTAAAAAGTACATTTTTTTAATTTTAATGTTGCTGAAACAACAAAATAATAAAAAAATAAATCTGATTGAGGAATCACTCATCTTTGGAAAAGAGAGTTTATTACAGAGAAATGTCTCTTTCAAAATAAAAGCTCTACTATACGCTTCTTCTGGGCTATATTCTCAGCAGCATATTAAACATATCAGGTCCCCATAAGGAGAATCCTGTGCTAACGGCTGTCTAAATGACTCGGGTAAAGTTTGTAGCATGCTTGTTGTTTTTGTCTGCTTCCACTTGTCTTTGCACGAGGATGATGTCGGAGTAAATGTGCAGTCATATTCGTTGTGTTCCCACTAGTGCTGTCAGCGTTAATCTGAAATGACATTAACGCCACAACACGGCAAATCTCCGTTAACGAGCTGCCGCGGATCGCCTAACTGCGCTAATGCACTAGTTCCCACCCATGTAATTGAGCATTGTGTGGCACATCCAACATACTGTTTTACTTTAGTCCATGACGCGCTTACCTTCAGGGTCATACGTCACATGAAGACCAAAATAGTTCCAAACGCCAGATCTGAATGAGGGTGGGGGAGGTTCAATTTGCCATGTTGCAACGAGCTTAGCTAGCTTGCTAGCTTGCCCTGTGCTCAGTGAATCTGCGTTCGACTACTCCGCCTAGGCTGCACTGTCGAACGCAGATCCACTGAGCGCTCAACACAGACAGCATAGTCAGAAGGAAAGTTGATCAAATAAATGTTGTATTGTTCGATACATATGCGTACCGAACCGAAAGCTCTGTATCCAACGGTTCAATATCGATACGAGTATTGTTGCACCCCTACTAATAATGCAAACTTTAAGCCCTAATAAGCTTTAAACAGGTGAGTTATAAAACCATCCTCCCCCTGTACAGGTGTTATGAAGGAGAAATGACCCACAGAGACCAAACAGTTTGTTTCTGCTGTGAAGTTTTAACATGGGAGTCTATGGGGACTGACTCACTGCTGCCTCTGCTGGACGTTAGAGGAACTGCAGGCTTTGCCACTTTTAATTTTGAGGCTCTAAATATGACACCATCACGTCAAAAATAATAAGCATAATTCCCTCCTCTGTTAGAGCGTAACAGTCACCAGTGAGACCAGCACAGCTGGAACTCCACATGCATGAACTTATTTTTGGGAGGAACTACATCCAAAATTCAAACAAACGGTGGAGCTCTCTCTCCCTAAAGAACAGAAAAGAGTGAAGACGAGAGAGGCTTTTGTTGATTGAAGGGTAACGCTGTGGAACACCACGGAGGAACTCTTTCATTTTTCCCACGATTGAAGATGAAAAGTCAGACTTTTGTGGAAGGAGGATTTTTTTTTTAAATAACTGTATACTCTCAGAAAAAAATCATCTTAGCAAAAACTAACAAAGTATTTTTAACTAAAGTTATGACTGAAAATCTGATCGCAGTGGTTTGAGCGTCTTGTGTGAGGCTCTAATGTAATTTATTTTTACTTTCGAGTGCATCGAGGTTCGTTTAACACTTTGATTTTATCTCAAGAGTTAGAGGTACTCACCGAGGCAGAGGCTGGAAGCGGTCATGAGGCATCACTGCTTTGAATCCATCACTGCAGGAGACAAATGTGATAATGATAACCACACAGCAGCATATCTAACATATATAAACACTGTTAAAATCACTATCAAACACATTCTGTCATATTTGTTTAATCCATCATTAAAGCTCCTTTAATAATAAAGGTTCTGACACAGCTCAGGTTACACTCGTGTTCACAATCTGCTTTGTGCGACCCCAATAAACCCCCCAAAGACAAAACGAACCATTATAAGAAAGACATGAGCTCATTTTGAATTTGAAAGCAGCAACACGTCTCTCGAAGCTGGACAGCTCCTGTGACGGTCTGTGAGCTGAGGAGAGCAGCTGCAGGGGGACGATGTCCTGCTCTGGTCTGATGGAGGACTCTAGCTGCTCTGCTTCGTCCTGTTGTTGCTTTCATGATGCTCCAGATGTTCTCAGCTGGTCAAAGGTCTGGGCTGCAGGCGGGCCGGTTCAGCAGCTGGACTCCTCTCCCATGAAGCCGTGCTGCTGATTTAACATCGTCCTGCTCAAACATGAAGGCCTTCCCTGAAAATCTAGATAGATCTGACCTCCGATCAGTTTCCACTTTGCTTCAGTCCATTTTAAAGGAGCTGTTTCAGGCCACATCTGGCTTCTTCCCTGCATGACGGAGCTTTAACCTGCACGTGTGGACGGCAGGCTGAGACACGTCACTGCCATCAAATTCAAAATGAGCTCATATTTGATATGAAATATTAAAATCTGTCAGTTTAAATATTTGATATGTTTTCTGTGTTCTGTTGTGAATAAAATATGTCTTTAAGTGATTTGCGAACCATCGCATTGTGTCTTTATTTCCATTTTAGGCAGCGAGATGCACAGACTCGTGCATCTGTTAGATCATCTGAATGAAGACGTGTGCATGCACTCAACTGGATCTTTCTTCCTTTTTTTCAAAATATGAAAATATTCCTCATTGATGTCAATGAAACCACTATGGGGGACGCTGGTATTTGATCCAGGAAGGCCAATAGCTCCCAGTTTCAACAGCGGGGCTCGCGTGCTGTGGTGTCAGCGTGCCAGATTTAAAAACGTTGACGCTAATCTGTCGGCTACAGTTAACACGCTGCAGCGGAGGAAGGAGACGATGACTATAAACAGGTAAAACAGTGTCGATGCCGAAGCTGCGACGCTGCACAGCCACCAGCTGTCCGCACCTCTCCGGGCAGGGGTCCATGTTGCACTCTTTGAGCTTTGGAGTGGGTTTGGTGTTTTCAGGATAGCTGCTACAATGGTGCTCGGGCAGCGTCTGGTTGGACCGGATGTCTGTGCACTCGGCAGAGTTCAGCTGGTAGCCTGAAGGAGGGAAGCGACCACGCCGTTACCGCTCTCACACTCTAAAAGTGAATCTAAAAGCATTTTTAATCACGGCGACGGTCAGCTCACCTCCTCCGCACGTGACCGAGCAGGGGAAGAAGTCAGTCTCTCTCCACTGGTATCGAATTGGTTTGTAGAACAGAAACTGGACAACAGTGTCCTTGGAGCCTCCGTACTTTATCTGCACAGCACAACAGAAGAGGGTGGACACAGCGGGCAGAGGGAAGAAGGACAAAGTCAAGCTCTGCATGTTAGAGGAGCCTCCGCTGAGTTTCTCAAACCAAATCTACGCAGTAATTCAGCCATTTTCAAGCATTTAATCCTAAAAAGATGAACCTGCAAAAATACAGAAAGATTTAAGGCTTTTGAAATTCCCATCATAAAGTGAAGGACTTGATCCTTACAGCATTCAAACTGTTGCTTTGATAAGACCAGCACTTTCCAGCAGCCCTCCTTTTTTAATACAAAAGGCGTTTGAGTCATTCATCACACACTCTGCAGCTCTGGATAAGATTTAGCTTTGTGCACTGAAAGCATCGACTGCACACCGAGCTTTCAGACAGATGGTAATGTGTCATATTTGTCACCAAAGTAATTGCAATTACAGAGCGTAACTGATAGCAAACCCACTGCGGCTGGGCACCAGTGGGCACAAAGACGAGGAAACAAAAGAGCGGAAGACAAGACTGAATAAGTTTCTGACTGAGCCGAATTAATAAAACAATGCAACACTTTAATCTGCAAAATTCTGCCCTCCAGCCTGCATGAAATAACCATAATCTGCAGCTTGTGCCCACATCGGCGGGCAGACGTTCGTTTCCAGAACGTGAGTCTGCCCGAAATACTTCTACGCACCTGAGTAATCGGGTCCAGGCGGGCGAGGATCAGCAGCAGACGGACGGTAGTCAGCGCTCTGATCCCAAAACGAACCGGACGAATCATCCACACGGCAGAGAGGCCACTTTTGTTTCTCTGACGGGATACGATGCAGAAACTGTGTCTGCTCCATTAAACTGTCGTTTATTTCCTGAACAGTAATGACAGCGGCTCCGTGTTAAAGGATAAGAGTGGAGTTTCTCTGCTGTCTGTGTCACTCAGGCAGGTTAGAGCAGCCTTTGGTTGGATGGATTTTCTAGAAACCATCATATTGATTGATGATGGTTTAGCTTTTTTAATTAATCTGCATTTGGAAACTCTGACTTGGAGATTTGGGCTACAAATCACGTCACGTCTCCGATGTCTAAAAACTTTATGGTGCAAAGTTTAAACATGTTCAGCGAGTGAAATTAATACTTCTATTGAATAAGACGACCTACTAATACTTGTGGTACAACTTTTCATATGAAAACAGCATTTTCTTAATTTGTGTGACTAAATATTTCATATTAAAAGGTTTTCAATATGATTTCTTTTACATTATTGTGAAATTCAACTATGTACAGTTCAGAAATTGTCAGTAGCTGTCTTTTGCAAAGTTTTTATGTTTTTACTTTTTCATTAGTCCAAACTTTGGACCATACAGTTTTTATGCGACGGGCCGACGGATGAGCAGGAGCGCATCGATCGAGTTGTTCTGTAGTCTCCAAGCGTTGCTGGAGCTTTAACTTCTTCAGACCCACACTTTCCACGGATGTTTAGAGAAGAAGCGAATAATAATTTTGGATAACTCCAAAATGCTTTTATCTGGTGCAGACAGCCGACTGTCGACGGCCCACTAAGAGCTCGTCTTTTCTACGAGTGGAAAAAAAGGAGGGCTGTGATGCTGGTAGTACAAAGTGGAAAATGCATTTCCACTTAGGCCTCATTGACAGAAATTCTAATAGTGCCGCAGGCAACAAGCTCTCAGTCTCATTAAAACAATGCCTCAAAAGCCAAATATTCACAGCAGCCTGTTTTATTTATGTTTGCGCTCTTGTATCTGTGATAAAATATGTCAACAGAAGCTCAAAGTCCTCAGGCTGTTTCGCTATGAAGATCGCTTCACCTTGATGATGTAATCAGCGCCGAGTGGGCCGTGCGTCCTGAGTGTCTGCCGGTCGTTCCCCCTCTGAAAGTCCAAGGAGGTGTTTCCTATCACGTAGGAGCCCGTCGACTGCAGACCGGTCTCCTCCTTCCTCCCCTGAAGAGACACGGCTTCAATAACTGGCAGAGAGACAGAGCAGGAGGGAGCGTTATTAAAGCACACGCAGGATTAAATTCATGCTTTAAAAATGCAAATGTCTGAAATGTGACGCGCAACCCGACAAGACTGGGTGTGAAATGTGTTGTTTACTTCCACCGAGAGGAAACAAGTTCTTACCTAATACTGGAGATAAAAACTAGAGATCTGTGTGACTCACCTCGTTAGCTTACAACGCAGAGAAGACGAGTTTTTGGGAAGCGTTACAATCAGAGACATTATGGCAAACCAGGTAACAAAGACACAACAACCAAATCTGTAACAGCTGTGGGGTCTTCTTACTGTACTGCACTGCTGATTTCACAAAGGTACTCAATTCAATTTTATTTATATAGCGCTTAATCAAAACAACAGTCGCCTCAAGGCGCTTTATATTTCACAGTAGTACAATAATACATACAGAGAAAAACCCAACAATCATATGACCCCCTATGAACAAGCACTTGGTGACAGTGGGAAGGAAAAACTCCCTTTTAACAGGAAGAAACCTCCAGCAGAACCAGGCTCAGGGAGGGGCGGGGCCATCTGCTGTGACCGGTTGGGGTGAGAGAAGGAAGACAGGATAGAAGAAAGTATTAAGTTCAGAGTACTCTAAAATGGTGAGTGATGTTAAAGTCCCACATTTTCGGTATCCCCTTTTTCAAAAGCAAAAAGATACAGTAGAAAACATAAACTTTGCATCAGTAGAAGATAAGATAAGACTTTATTGATCCCACAATAGGGAAATTTTTTGCGTCACCTCAGCTCAGGTACAGATATCAGAAGAAAATACAAAAATACAAATAAGTACAATCAGTGAAAGAAAGTAAGATAATACACTATATACAATGGTAGCACACACAGTATGTGATTGTTGGTTGGAAATATGGAAGACATAAACTATATAGCTTGACATAACTATTGTACCACTACTATTCCTATTTCTAGACATGTACACACTAAATATAATGTACATATGTCTACATATACATACATATATACCTGCACATGTCCATACACATGGACATATTAAGATCCAATATTAAGTCCTGTGTTCTGTCAAGTGTGATAAAATAAAGTTTTCCTCTCAGAGTTTGTTGTTTTACTGTAAACGGTGCTGCTCTGGTTCTGTCTGCAGGTGCAGGTCTGACATCTGTGACTTAGAGACTAAAAAGTTGCTGTACTCCATTCCAACGAGTAAAAATCAGTAGTAATATGAAGTACGCAGGCCTGTTACATTAAAGCACAGAGTTCTCACAAGAGATCCAAGGCTGTCTCCAAAAGGTGCAAACCACCTCTAATTACTCAGAGTTTCCTGTAGCCTCCTCACAGCCGCGTCTTCCAGCTCCGCCTTGGGGATCCTTGCACTCTCGAAAGCCAGGAAAGAAGAAGCAATTCCACTGGTGTGTCTTCGGGTCTATCCCTGGCGGATGCATCCAAAGAACTTCCAAAGAGAGCCGTATTCAGACTCCAGCAGTGTCTTCATATGATGGGCAAGAAGAGCAGCTCTGCTCCTTCTGACTGCTGAACTCTACAAACGAGTCCAGCCTTGGAATAGAATTAGTTTGCCGTTTGTGTGACTTTTGGTTGCTATCCACGGCTCATTAACCCGTTTAAACCGATGGGAGTGCCACCATTCACTCTGGCAACCAAGCACAGACCACCCAAATCCTCATGTGGCTTTTGGATGAATATGTCGGCTGTTGGTCACGCCCCTTTTGTTATCTGGGACAGAAACTGTGCAACAAAAGAAAACGTGTAATCCTAAAGCCAACATGTGGGCCCAACCAGATACATATTCATTAATTCATTAAGGTCAATGAGTTAATGAGCACAGCTGTACCTGAACCTGGCACACTGAGTGTAGCTGCACAGCTTCTCTGTAAAAGGACTGGATGCCTCTGTCGGTGCACTCCTGTAGCTGATTGTGCATCATCACTCAGGATGATTCAGCGCCTTAAAAGCCAATGTGCAGGTATAAAAGCCTAGAGCAACTTCACTCTACCTGAAATTGTACAGTGAGCGGTGGGAAGGTGCCTCACTTTCCGGCTGCTCAGGCTAAATTACACAGTCCACCTCTATTCGCCTGCTGGTGCTTGTTGCCTCTTGGAACAAAATACTAAAATCTACTGGCAGATATATGGGCCAGTAATCTTTTCCTGAGTGTTTTCAGAGAGTGTGTTTGTGTTTGGAAGTACACTCTAGTTTTTATGTACTCCCAATAGCTTCCAGTAAGCTTAGAAAGCAACTCTCCATCCGCTGCCAGGACGCTGATGAGTTTCATAGCTTCTTCCTTTGCTGGAAAACCACGACCTTCGCCTCTGGCTTTGGGGCCGTGGATCAATCTGGCCTGTGCTGTCAGAATGAAACAGTTTGAACTCCATGAAGTCTGAATTCAACAAAGAGCAGATCGTTTGTGCTTTTCTGTAAGACTTTGTTCTCACAAAAGGTTGGTGCAAATCCAATTAATCTGTCAGTCTAAGACAAAGCATCACCATTTTTCATGTTGTGATTATATTTAACCTCTTAACATTCAGCAGGGTCGGACATCTTTGGGCTTTCCTGTTCCAACCGGCTAAAACTTAACATTTACCCAAACCCTGCCTCTGACCTGGACCCCGGATAGATTGCTGGTGATCTGGTGGAGGTTAAGTCTGACTTTTCCAAGATATTCCATGTTTTTTAAAAAAGATCTTAATTATGTTACATGAAAAAATGAAAAATTCGGGAGAGGAAATCGTGGAGTTTTTGGCCCATTATGAAAAGAAGTTGTTCATCTTTTTAAAGTTACCTGGTGTTAAATTCTGATTACGTGTTTGATATTATGCTTAGTTACAGAGGAGTAACTCTCTGAACTGTAAATGAGTGTGTTGGACCTGTTTTCTGCTATTGTGGTCTGTCTCTCCTCTAAAATGAGCTCTTGGTAACAGATGAGCAACCTGCCAAAGAAATTCTGGGTTACTCCTCGAATCAGGAGCCTCTGACTCAGCCAGAACATCTTGGAGCTGTTTTAGGATCAGGTTTGTGCTGACGTATCTGCATTCGCCCTCAGACCCTTCACTTTTTTCAATCGACAATAAAATAGAGCAGAAAACCCAAATGATGCAACGAAGCAGTCAGCAGGATGGGAATCGCAGGGTTTCGGCTGTGCAGGGAAGTTTTTTCTTCACATCTCTGGTTTGTTTTATAACAAGGTGAGCCCAGGTCTGGACTTGGAGCTGAAAGCATGATTTACTGTCCAAACTATCACCACTATTTATCAGGTGACACTGTGGAAACCAACACATCAACACAACACAACGTGGCATGTGAGGAATCTCAAATCAGCTCCTACTGGACCGACTCTGATTTACATAAAACTTTAGGCCTAAGACAGCTGGGATCGGCTTCACCACCCCCACAAACACAACACTGTGACAAGGATGAGAAGAATGGATGGATGCTGGCTAAAAGCTGTCAAAATGACAGATTTGTTTAGATGATATGAAAGACGAGTAAAAGTGTCCAGCTTTTATCTTTAATTTTTTTTCAGATATTTTCGTTTTCTCAAATTCGGTCACTGAACCATTTTTCTAAAATTTCACAGCAATCATTTTTGTTACGCAAACTTCAAAAGCATAAAAGTTTAAAACTAAAAACTAGCAAATCTGAGACGGTGGAGGAAATGTTGTAAAATGAGCTGATTTTAGATGGAGTGGCTCATTTGTCTCAACACAACATTTGTAAAAAGTGCTGTGCTACAGTTTCAGTGTTGTGCTTCGTGTTGGTTACTGGGACTCTCATGTTGTACTAGTTGTCATTATTATTGTTGCAGATGTGTTATATTAGCAGCTTTGTGCATGTGTGTTGGGAACAGTGGTGGCGACTGGGAAGGGCAGATCCCCAGTTTACCCTTGTTGCTTCACATAAATACCCAGAGATTAAATGTAGTTCTGGTTCATTTCATATTTACACTGAATCACTGCATTTACAGACATTTACATTTGGACCAACAGCGAGTCTTCAATATGCCTGATGCACGTTGGTCGTCACAAAGGAAACAACAACAAAGACCATTTACCATAAAAAGCGAAACAGCGCAGATCTGCCATAAAACCAGTTCACGCACGTTTGGTTGTACTTGGAGTTCATCAGGGCTCTGATTGGGTTCAAACTCTTGGCCATACGATGACGACCACCAACGTAAGAACTGGATGTTAAGTCTTTGTGCTCGATGTCTCGTTTGTCTTGTAAGTCAGGTTTGTAAACTCAAGCATATTTGTCCCTGGTTCAGCTTCTTTTTGAGGAAATGCATCACTACAAACCACATTAGATGGTTCACTCTATTTAAAGGTCTCCGTATGGTCCTGTGTTGGTGGTCCTTAGGTGCTACACAGGACTTTCCATACTCAGGCCTACAAGTTGTAGCAGTGTCCCATTACACTGGTCAACAAGCATTGTGCTACTGGGACTCCTTCGCCTGCCACAGAGAATTTTGCTGAGCTTGTGAATAACATGCTGAAAGCAGGAAATAGTCCCACAACATCACTGAAGATGCCCGCTTTACGTTCTCATAGCAACTTCTTTCCAACAAATCTGAAAGTGTCGGCGATGAGCACGGGGAAAGATTTCCACGAGATATAAAAGTGACGGAAACCAACATCAGGGAAAATTTAATCAGAGGCAGCTACTGTTGTTTCTCGCAAAGAGACACGAACGTGCAGAACAAGTGCAAAAGCAAACAGTTTTGAGCACAACGACATCTTTTTATTTGAGCCAAGCTGACAGAAATATGTGTTAACGAGTCTCTGGTGTTGGTAAAAAACCTGATGAAGAGCTGGTCTGAGGATTCTTTTAACCAGGAGCCAAGTCGAGAATCTTCAGAATAAACGGTGAGCTATTCTCGCTCACGTTTGTGTGGTCGATTGTCCTTCAGCTGAGCTTCTGCCGCGGTGAGAGAGGTCATTATATTAAAACAGTGTTTAAAAATGCAAACTGAACCCAATCATGTTCTCATAAATCATCACATGTAAACCAGCAACTTGGTATTCAGAGCACATTTTAATAAACACCCTGTTGTGAGACGATTACACGGCAATCATAAAGTCACGCCTGCATGTAGCAATAAACACAGATTTGATTGACTGATCCTTCTTCATATTCAGTCCACAGACCAGCACGAGACAAATAATCCTCTCACCATAAATGTGTTCCTTACAGAGAAACTGAATTCACTTGAAATCGTCTGTAACATTATTATGTTAAGTTCTTAAGAGATCAAAGCGCGAATGTGCGTAAAAACCTGGTGTGAAAAACACGAGTTTCATAGGACACACTGTCAAACTGAGCATCAGCTTTGCTTTGTTCAGCTTTTGGAACAAAGTAGACTCACCGATCATATCGGGGCCTTTGGCGTTGAGTCTGAGAAAGCGACTTCCCATCGGGACCTCCAGCACCGTCTTCAGAGCTGCAGGTGGAAAAAAGATCAGAAAGGTTTCGGTTAAACTGACAACACAACAACCGTCACTGAGCAGAGAGGCGGACACATCCAAACACCTGCAGAGGAAACGTTTTGTCTTTGTCTGCCTTCTCATGTTTTGGGTTTTATGTTTTTTACCGTAAAAGTAGTCCAGCCTCGCTTGAAAACTTCTCACATACTGACACTTGATGAGCATCAGACTGGATCCCCTTCAGCATCTTTTTTCAGGAACGAGTCTGCTACAGTCCGACAGGACTCGCTCAACACTGACAATATCTGATCAAAACTTTAGAGAATCCTGGAGGCAGAGCATCAGGTGAGGAGCTTCATGCATTCATGTTGGAAATGGAACGACCATTCAGAGGAACGACACGAACTGCTGGACCACCGTGTGCTCGCACAGAGCATCGTCGCTCAGTCTTGGACCATTCGCCAGATGTGCCTCCCTGTGAATTCTTCCAGATCCTGAAAATCAAGTTGAAGGATCACCAACACAATTCTGCAGCCACACCAAGGAAAACTGGTTGGAAAACGCAGCAACACCAAAGTTACTGCAACCGTGTTGTCTTTGAAATGGTTGCTTTGAAGAAGGGGACCAGGCCTGTGACCTGTGCCCAGTGGTGGTGATCTTTAAAATGTCTTTGCATCAAGACGGCGACAAAACAGCAATAAGAGAAAGTCAGCCTGCTATTAGTCGCCGACCGAATGGGATCAATGGGCTGGATGGGCTATCGTATGCAATCCTGTAATAATACAGCAATGTTTCTTTTTCTGTAACAGATCTCAGTTAATCTGTTCCAGAAACACAAACTCCTCCACAAAGTTTCTGCAGGACGGTGATTTAACTGCAAAATGACACGAGCCCTCAGGGACATTGCTTTTACGCAGGCATATAGGCAGAATACAATCAGTTCTGTTACGTCCACTACTGGAGGAGATGCTTTGTAGACGAGTTGTGGTCATCAGTGCAGACTGCCTCAGTTCACAACCACCAGGCCGGGTCCTGTTCCTTGGTTGATCTTATATCCTCGTGTTGATGTTGTTCCCACGTCATCTTAATAAATGTTGTTCCAGGTTCAACATTGCAAGTGACCAATCACGTTGTTGTGATGTACTTTTGCAAGCCAAGCGAATCATTCATTTATGAAATTCCAGTGTTGCAAGAACAATATGCATAATGCTTACCGTTTATTAAAGAACAGCATCCTGAAATGCAAAGAATTCAAATTGCTGGATCGGCGGACAGAGGCGGCTTCTCGCAAGTTAAGTAGTTTTTTTTTTACGACGCTTTTTTCCGAAGTCGCAAAAGTATGACATCACAACAATGTGATTGGTCACTTGCAATGTTGAACCTGGAACAACATTTATAATGATGATGTGGGAACAACACAACACGAGGATATCAGATCGTGCTCTGTTCCTAGTCTTGTGCGTTCACTCATGTCCCAGGTTAAAAGAATACAACCATACCAACCACCACCTTGTGGGAGAAGTTTGAAAGATGTTTGACATGTAGGTTTTTCTTTAAATCAAACCATAAAGTTTTTGCTAATCATAACCATATTCAAAGTGTGTTTGCCTCTGAAGAGTCACAACATCCATCCATGTGTTAAAAGTGACATGAAATGAGAGACTTAAAAAAACAAAGAAAAAGTGTTGGAGGTCTGAAAAGCCTCCACACTGCTGACCCTTTCCTGTTAGCTTCCTCCATCCTCTTTAACCGGTGCAGAGGTGCTGAAAGGTGGAGCAGAAACCACTGAACAATATAGAACTGAATTGCACAGATTGGCCTTGATTGGCCTATTGTCACCGAGACCCGATCCAGCTTTCTCAGACAGGATCACATATTCATTCACATACTGGACCAGACATCACTGGTAAGAAGGGAGTACAAATAGAGAATAATAGAGTATTTCTTCAGCCACCATGATTATGCATGTAATAATTATTTTTTACTCTTTTCTACATCTACTCAAAAAAAAAGAAGCGGGGAGGTAAGATATGAAAGTGTGGATTTGTAAATCTGTTAAACCGTAAAACAGCAGAAGGACATTTTATACTCAAACATCCTTAAAGGCAGCGCCAGACGGGATTCGTTGAAAGACCACAGGTGCTGACACTCGAGCTCAACAGCAGACGCCGGACTTCAGAGCGGGGTGTGATGGTGGAGAGAGTGGACAACATCTGAAGGAGCTATCTGAATCCCATCAGGCTGGAGAGGCAGCAGCGTGTAACGTTCATTATTCTTCCAACAGAGTGGAGTAAATGTCCCTGACTCGAGTCCACTAACTCGTCTCTCGCCTGTCAGCGTCCAATAAAGTCACAACACCTTCATTAGAGCCAAATCTTCAGCACAGAGCTTCCTTAAAAAAGGTGGAAATCTGTTGATTTGAAGGTTCACTCGTGTTCCAATCTTGCTGAGTCGACGCTCACGCTGCATCTCGTTATCCTGCTCATGAATTTGCTTGGTAAGAAGTTAACATCAGCAGCAGCCAAAGGTGCTCCTCGTCCTGCAAAACAGCTGCTGGTGCAGCTGCCAGCACAATCCAGATATCATTACTTCACAGTTAAAGATTTGGGGCAGCAGATATTATCTATGTAGGTGGTGGCTGGGTGGTGGTGGTCACAAGGGGGCATTTAAACCTCTTCAACATCTTGCCAGATTGTGTCCTGGATGTTAATCAGTGTAGGTGTTACCTTGTTAAGCCGCCCCAAGGTGAAAATGAAAGTCCATTAATGGAGCTTGTTTAGCAGCATTAATTGGCAGCTCTCAGTTATTACACGCGTTAGCTGGACTAAGGAGAAACTCGCCTTCAGCTCCCTGTTTGTGGTGAAGGCTGACGTGAGGAGACCACCACACCGCAGCGCTGTCCTGCCTGCTGCTTTACAGCTGCACAGAAGCAGCGATCTCCTCCGCGGCTCTAAATAACGTCCACGTGTGTGCTGTTAAATGTCACCTCGCTAACTAGTCAGTCACGCGCCTCTCCTGTGCAGGTCGCAGCGTGCAGGAACAACAAAATACTGAAAGTATTCGCTGCTGTGAAACACTTTGTGAGGTTTCATGGTAGACGAGTTTGTCCCACGGCGGGTAAGCGAGGAGGCGTGGGCACGAGGCGACACCTCCACAGACAAACGCAGACTTAATTCCATTTTCTATATTTTATAAACGTCAGTTTCTCCTCCAGCGACAAACGAGAGCCGAGCTCAATTAACACGCTGTGGCTGTGAGCCGCTGGGCTTTACCCCAAACATAATTATACTTGGAAAACTGCATCTGCCTTTAAATTTATGGAAGCTATGGAATAAATTCAGCTGCAGCCATTTGCAGTTTTTTCCCCTTGAACTCTAAAATAGAGATTAAACATAAAGCCAGGTTGTTTTTATGTTTTTTAAGCAACCTTCGAAATAAATTATGAAATGAAACATAGATAAACAGCTCATTTCACACGAGGCCGTCGACTCTGTAAACCGAGGCTTTAGGGAATACTGCTGCAAATTCATATTCCAAATGCAATGACTGATAAACAGCGGGGTCATGAATAATGGATGAGGAGGAACAAAGGTGATACTCGCGCGTCTGTAAATAAATTCGCTCTCACTAAGGCAGGCCTAAATGTGCGTGATTGGTTAACCTTATCGGCTCTCTTCTTCTGGGACATTAGAGCCGAGGGCAGGAGACAAAGCACGGGAGACGGAAACTTACAAACTGGATGGAAAACAAATGAGTCTGACAGGTAGAGTCCTTCCAGCCGGAAACTTTGATTGTTGTGTAAGAAGGCTTTACAGGTTCCCCACTGGCCTGGGATAACAAGGGCGCCGAGCCAGTGTCAGAGACACAGAGCACGTATTCACGGGACCTGAAGTCAGATGTACTTGTGCAGTCGCTTATGATGTGAAACCCAGGAAAGGTGTCCTGGAACCACAAACACACAGAGTGTTTATTCTAAGACAGGTCACATGATAGCTGACGAATTCTTGGATGGAGCGATAATATATCACATGAAAAATGCTCCAAAAGCCTCCAACAGCACCTGCACCTGTCAGTCAAAGAGGCCCCGCCCCTAATAAGCCTTAGACTTCATAACACCCCGCACAGGCGTTATGAAGGAGAAATGACACACAGACACCAAACAGTTTGTCTCAGGCTGTAAACGTTTATTTCTGCTGTAAAGTTTTAACGTGGGAGTCTATGGGGACTGACTCACTGCTGCCCCTGCTGGACGTTACAGGAACTGCAGGTTTGGGAGCTTCATTTTTTAGCTGCGGACCAATGAAATATAGATTTTTAATATTTTCATATTCACTTTATGCCAGATGTTTCCAACATTCGTCAAACCAAAACCAGTGATTTTATTTAATGCTGTGTTTGTGTGTAAATCTTGTATAAACGAGGTGTTTTGAGTTTTCCTAAATGCAGTTGACGTTCGGTGCTGCAAATTACTTCATCCTAATAACAAGTTCATGGTTTTAAATTTGACCCTCCTGCACATAAACTGTATACCTGTCTGTGAAATCTGAATCCAAAAAGAAAAACATGAGACTTCATGAAGAACAGATGCTTTATGATTTTAATCATCCGTCTGTCGTGCCTTATCCACACATGCTTTTGCTAATATAGTTTAGAACCATAGGTATTGATTCGTAACGGTAATAGAGCCACGTTCAGCAAACATCCGCAGTGCCGAAGGATAAAGAGTCACTGTAAAACATAATGTGTATCCAGTTAAATTCAACCTAAAACAGCCAAATTATGCTGAATGAACATATTCCTGCTACAGAAGAGTACTGGCAGATATCCCCGAGTTTAAATCCACACTTTCAAAGTTTAACGACCTTTGCTGCCTCTCTGGTTAAAAATATTTCAGGGCTATTTCGTTTTATCCATAAAACATGCCGTCCATGATGAAGGTTACTAATGAATTCAATACGTTTGCAGAAATTATTATTTTAAAAGTGGAGCACGCTCACATGTTTGTACCGACTCTGGG